GTTAATTAAAATGAGTAGCCTAATTCATTGAAATGGAAAGAACAATAAAATTTATTTTATGTATGGTTTAGAACTTCAAATATTGATTTAAATAATATGTTTAAAGTTGTTTTAGCACTTTATCAAATCATTCATACTTAGGTTGAGGACGGGATTTTGGCATCCCTGGAACGCAAGGTTAGGGAGAGGAACGGATGTTATTTATTTCGAGACATAGATCACGAGTTTAATGGCGGACAACGGTTCAGTCCTGGCAGTGTAATATCCCGTGACGTAGGGTTACCTGATGAGGGACCTTCAATTAATGGAGGAGAACAATCCCTTCCTGGCCGTGCTTTCAACCAGGAGACAGTTTTACCTGATGTAGGACCTGTAATATCTAGCCCTGACGATTCTGAGGCTGATGATTTGAACAGCACTGTAAGGGAGCAGAATGTAGATGATCAGAAGGAGCGGAATGTTAATGATCGGATTGATGCAGGGATGGTTCCGGGTGTGACTGCAGGGAAAGCTATAAAGCCTATATCTAAATCTGGTGCGTCTAAAAAGAAACGAAAGAGCCAATTAGAATTGCTTGGCATGTGCACAAATAATACGGTTAAAAGTCTCGTACTGCGATCTGGTAAGACCCTGGTTGGTTCTGACACCTCTGTAGTGGCGGAAGAGGATGCAGAGAAAGATGCAACGGAAGATGATTTTTGTTTGTCGGATGACGAAGCAGAATTATAAGTTATCTAACACTTACTTTGATTTAACTTATTTCTTGATTGAATAATTAATTCTTCGGTTAGAGGATTAATTTAATTTTTCTATCGCGAATAATGTTCAGTATTCTTTTTATTTATTGTGCTGTATTCAAAGAGGGTTTTGAAAAACGTAAAAGTTCCCTTTTTATGTTTGATTAGCTGTTAAAAATATAGGATATTTGTTTTGGTTTGGTTTAAGCTCGCCGTTGAAATTTATTTGACCGATGTTGGATTTTTGCCTCGTACTTTATACTCCCTTTTGTTCAATTTTCGCTTATAATTGGTTTTCTAATTTTGCTCGTTATATATCTATCTGAGAGCAAAAATTTTAATTTGAGGCCCGGAATTTTGGGTATTTAAATTTCGAGCACGTTATTTGACAGTTGTGTTAAGAAAATTCTAAGTATGAAAGAATAAAATATTTACAAATATCACTTTTAATTTGTGAGTGTGATTTTATTTTGACATTTTATATATTATAATAGAAGACATGAGTTGGTTAATTTGGTTTAAAGGAAAAATGATTTAATTTTTGGAGTTCCGGAGCAAATGAATTTTTGAAATAAAGAAAACTGTTGCTATAATCGGGTAAAGATAAATTTAAGTCTGATAAGTTTGATTTTTATTTTTATCATGACAAACCAATATGTTAATACGAGATTAAACCTTTGTTACTTGTTTCAAATTGAAATTTGGTTTTTTGATATTTTGAGATTTAATTTTATGACAAATAGAAACCTTGACGTGAAATTAATACATTTTTTGATCTAACTATGTATCGGAAAGTTTAAATGCCAAAGAATTATATTATTTTTGTCAAATCATTTTATTCAATTTGGTTTAAATTAAACGTATGAAAGTTTGGTATTTAAAGATTTTTATTGCAAATTGTTGACAACCTTAATTTTTGGGATGCTTACGTTTTTAATTTAAGTATGAAAAATTTGGATATTATGGGTAGTTGTATATTTTAAGAGTGAACTATGAAAAGAAAGGTTATATGTATTATTTTTGTCAATTTTGTTTTAAAGCATGTTTTGTTAAAATTGAAAAAATTTGGATAGTTGAACTGAAACTGAAAATCGGATAGTTAAGAAGAGAAATGCAAATATGATGTGTGCTGCGGATAGAACAATACAGGATTGAAAAACCGTGAACAAAAGTTACTTTTAATACATGAATAGATGTTTTACGATTGTCACCGTTGTGCGAACCGATTAAATTGTTTTAAATTTACGGATTAGTTTTAATTTTAAATATGTGGAGATACGCTTGGTTTATTGATTTTCCAAGTAGAAAATATAATTCATACTTAGATTGAAAACTTGTAAAAGTTCAAAGAACATGAGAAAATGTATGAACTTGATTATAAGCTGGTGGTCATATCCTGTAGTAACAGTATTGGGAAAGGCGAAAATACAAACTGTTCGTTTACATGACCGGTTATTGAAAATTATCACAAAAGTAATTAATGAAAATTTTCAATTTGTGCAGCTGTATTGTAATTATGATTAAAAGGTTTAATGTTAAAAGAAGAGCTTAAAGCAATTAATTAAAAGGGTTATAACTAATGGATGGTTGAGACAAATTAGTCTGTCATGTATATTTAATAAAAGTAACGAACAGTATTGCAAAAATGTATGTATTATATATGGTACTTTATTTTTTAAATTAGACGGGCATGTGCAATTCACTATGAACTATAATTGAAAATCAGATGGGCAATTTAATTTACATGAGTTCCTTAGTTCAAATCATATGGGTATATTTAAACTACAATAATACTTCAAGTTAGATTTTCAAATCGGGTGGCATGTTCAATTTACTATAGTACTTTAATTGCTAATGGTCTTTGATGGGCAGAGTTATTATACCATTGTACTTTATTCCAACATATATGAACTCGTTTAATTTGTCATGGTATTTTAAATGATATTATGTAATTTTTAAATTGAATGGGCATGTTCAATTCTCAATAGTACTGTAAATCTTATTTATGTCCGCACATTAGAATCCAATTCCCTATATTATAAATTAGTTGGCATGTGCTATTCACAAAATTGTCTATAATTTAGATGCTTTTGTTCAATTTACAGGATTATTGGGACGTGCATGTTTAATTCACCATAGTACCTTTATTTTTCATTCCCAGATTTAATTATGTTCAATGTAAAGTCATACGATGAGTCATAAATCGTCTATTATATTTATCAACAGTAAAGAGCAGAAAAGCTGAAATTAGAGAAAGCAGACATGTAATTTTTATTACTAACTGATACCATAAATAAGATACAATATGTACAATACTGATAGTTGTAGCATGTCGGAGCGGGAATTATCTGAGGCAGCGACGGAGAATTTCAATATTTGGAAAACATATAAAGTGTATGGACGGAAATGACATTGTTGGTTAGGGTATCAGGCGGCGGAGGCGGAGAATGAAAGCAAAAAAAAATAACGGCGGAGGTGGCGGATAATTGAAATTTGTAAAATTTAGAAAAATTTAGATGACATGGATATAAACGGAGGTTGTTGATTAATGAGTGGGCAGAAAAAAAATTGGCGGAGGATAGTGTTGACGAGATTCCTTTGAAGAGATACTGAAATAAATAAAAATTAAATTATGTAGTGGTTGATAAACGTAGTACTACTGGAGTTGTTTTTTGCTTAAATTTATTACTTGGTTGACCAGGATGAGCGTATGGGTTAAATTTCGAATTATAAGCTAGGAATGTCACTAAAAAGAAAATAATTGTAGAAAATGTTGAAAAGATAATAATGTCTCTCAAAGGAAATTCGCTTAGTTTCGGGTTAGTCAGAAGATTGTAAAGGTTAGTTGCTTCAGGTTGCGTAAGATAAAAAGGGATATATTTAATTCCTGTTTTTGAAGTAGGGCCAAATTTATAAATTTTATTATTGAGCGTTACCTGGGTACTAGTAGCAGTTTGCAATATGAAAGGTAAAGATTTGACTGTTGGTGGAATGTCGGGAACAGTATTGTCCGGAGACAGCGTTATATAGGAACCAGCCGGGATTAGGATACCCTGTTCGACTAAAATAGGTTTATTTGAAGATTCGTGGAATTTACATTTATCTACTGCAGAAGGGAAATTTTTATTAGTCAATGCATGAAGACAGGACATGTCAATTGGATTTTCATGGCAATTATTATTTTCATTTTCACAAGTCAGTGTTACAATTTCAAGTTTAGAGTTCAGAAAAGTATTGTTATTAGAATCGCTCAGATTTAAATAAAAATTATAAAATGGAGTCGGGACCAGTTTTACTAATGTAGTCGGAGTAGATTGACTAATTTTTATTGTAATTGTTATTTTTTCTGTTGAAAATTGTTTTTGTAAAATTTGAAATCGATTATATTTATTTTGAGATAAACAAGGGGATGCAGAAATTGTGGATTGAAAGAAGGGGGGAAGAATATTTTGCGAAACTTGTTGAAATAAATCTTTTTCGTGCTCAAGAAAGGTTGTTAAAGATGTTAAAATAGGGAGAAGGTAAATAAGAGTACCAATAATTTGTTGTGAGGAAGTTGAAGTGACATCATTTAAAGTTTCAGTATTTGGCGTAGCTGGAGTTAATTTTTGAAGTAAATAAAATATCTGTTTTGTGTTATCTGGAGTTTTTTCATATATTGAATCCATTGTAATTGAGCATGGAAAATTGTTAAAAAACAGGGGTCCAGAAAAAAATGAGGTTCTGTCAGTTAGGAGTTCTATGAAATATATATATTTTTCTTTAACATTTGTTAGTAGCGATTTAGTTTGTGGAGCAATTTGGGGGTTTTTTAAGGGTTCCAGAATGTTAGAAATTGAATCATTTAATTTATCTAGATCAAACGAATTGCGAAGGTTATCTACCTGAAGTGTGATGTATGTATCTGATACATCATGGTGATATGTGAAGGGGTCACCACTAGTGTAGAAGTCCAAGGTCGGGTTAGGGTTAGTGATGGTTGCAAATGAGGAGGCAATGGAACAAAGGGTTAGGAATAGCTGCGACATCCTAAAATATAGATAGTTTATAAACAATGTTTAATTTTAAGCATATTATGGTTTAAAGAGAAAAACAATAAGAAAATGTACTTTTTAAATGAAAGTGAGAAATTTGGATTTCCATTGAAATAGATATAGATATTGTATATATTATGTTATAGATTATGCATGTTTAAAACGTATTTAGTTATAATTTTCTAATTTTAATTTTTTTTTGAAAAATGTATTACTTGAAATTGACCATGAAGGTTAAATAGGAAGCTGTGGTTGAAGGCATGTGGATTGGAATTTCTTATGAACTTTGATAAGAGCTTGTAGGAAGACTATTACTTGTTTCTGCGTCTTGTATGAATATGTTTTGGAGCTATTCAAGAATATTGGATGGTTTTCTGCTACGATCTGAGGGCGTCGAGACATCGCACATCCAATTAGTTCATAACTTGTTGCAAAGTTCAATTTGCAGAGATGCGCAAAGACTACGCTTGCTGCACTAATGTTTCGCCATAATTTGGTTAATTTATCCGGCGAGAACTGATCATTGTAAAACGGCATTTGACCGATTATGATCACTTGAGGCGGTGATCCTTTTATGTTAGTGAGCTCGGTCATAATAGTCTTGAGATTAGCAAAATAACCTTTTATGATCATGTGGAGGTTATCCTGTTCAAAGGTATGAAGGTGACAATTTGGGATTTGTTTAATGATGCAGGAAATGTCCATTTCTAGGAGGTAAAGGGAATGATTTGGAGTAGATCTGATGATATCAAAAACATGGGAGAAGTAAGAGACATTGTTCCATATTACAATATTAGGCATATTTGAGAGTTTTATTAAGCCTGTTAGACTCACTCCACCAAACTTTAAAGCATCAGTAATTGGATACGTTTGTATTCCTGGACTAAGATTGAGAATTGTTGTTTTGTAGGCACTGTCCATGATGCCGAAATTTCGCAAATGCGTGTTTCCTATCAAGATAGCGTCTATACTGGTGTAATCATATGTTTGACATAGATCAGATAGGGATGGGATACTCAAAGGGTAGATTAGGGGGACGGGTGAGCCCGCCTGTGGTCCGTAGAATATTAGTTTAAGGAGTTCAGGACCTATAGGAGTGCTAAGTGATAGCAATTGGGATAATTCAGAGCCTAGCAATATCTGAACTAATTCATACCGATAGTTGAGGAAAGCCAGTCTATTTGCGCCAACATTCTTTTGATCCATCGATGTTATAAGTGCATGAAGAGTTGTTGCTGTTGTGAAATCCGATTCTTCTGTAATCAATCGCGAGACGTTTCTTGGAAATATGTCCGGAGTTTGAGTCTCGATATAGCTGGCGAAAGTTTCTTTTAAAAACAAGATCGCTTTATATTTAAGGGTCGTTTTCCTATCTAATAGATAGAGGAGGAGGTCATCTGGAGTTGTGGTCTCTATGATAGGGGAGGTCCTAGCCTTAATGAGAGAATCTTTAATGCAAAGCGGCATATTAGAAGTAAGGACTTCTAGTTCATTTTCGCCATGTGGGGTAGGGGTTAAATAGTGGGTTAAAAACGTGAAAAGCGGGATTTTATCCTTACAGGGAGTGCAGTTGGCACTTGAATGGCGTGCAGAATGATGTTGTAGAGTTGTTGTATCATCAAAGAAAAGTTTACAGATTCCACAATATATACTAGAAGGTTCAGTATGTTCCGATAAATAACAATGAAGTAACAGCGATTCAATATTAGGGAATCCTAGAGCACACATTTTACAAATGTTTAAACCTTCAGCGTTCAGAGCATTGAGGCTGGTTATGTTAATCATTGGGTCCAGTTCTCCCATATGATTTATATAATGTTCAATTTGTAATGTGTTATGTGTCATTGTATTCACGTTATATGTACACTTGGAGCAAATCAGCAAATTATTGCTTTGACGCGCAAAAACAACTAGGGCCCGGTAGCCCTTGTCTGTTTTATCTAAGACCCCTAATGTGTGATTGTCTGCCATACTTCCCATGGCTTGATGGGCTCCAAGTGGGATCTAAACGATATATTTTGTTAATATTTTTACTAGTTCATATTATGGAATAAAATACATAATTAAGAAAAGGTCTGATACAATCAAAGGTAATAACCATGAAAATGTTGATATTATTTGTTTAATATTTCAATTTCTTATAAATTATCAATTTAATGTAATGTATGCTTTGATATTAATTAAAATGCGAAAAAAAGAATGCAAAAGTTTGGTTTTGTAGATTGGTTATTATAATATGCTGAGTGAGCCTGTATAATATGTATAATATGTACTGAAAAGGTTAATAAAAAGGTTACCTGCGGTACTGTATGGCAAATGTTACACTTTTTTCTATGTTTCGGTGGCGGGGGGGGAGAAAGGTCTCTAAGCGGGTTCAGGATAATGCTATATCTTAATGACGTTAGTGTATTAGAACAGGATTTGGAGTCCTTGGATGTACTTGGAGCACTTGTTGAAGTGTATAAGTGAGGCTGCATATTAATGGAATTGGTTGAAAGTGGAGGGGGTGGTGTTGTAAGTGCTTCTGTTGCAAGGGATAGGGTGCGTTCAAGCTCTAGGAGAGGGGTAGAGAAGAGTTCTTGGTTTATATCCAAGTTTCTCACTGCTGGATCAGGAGGTCGAGTTGTTGGTGGGAGCACAATGTTACAGGTGAAGATATAATAGGGGGAGGAGAGGAACGATTGTTATTAGTGACAAGGGATTCATTAGAAGTGTCGGAATCTTGAGGGGAAGTGGGAGATAAAGTAGACGTTGTTGAAGAGGGTGAAGATATATTTTCAGGAACAGGATTTGTTCTGAGTGGTTCTACAGGAACTGGAATGTTGTTTACGAGTTCCAAGGAGTTCACAGAAGGGGTTGGAGGGTTCATAATTAGAGAATTGTTCGACCGATTGGCAGATCTTATCTGGGGGAGCAAAATAATAGGAAGTGTGTAAGGTGGGTTGGGACGTAATTCGGGAGCATTGTGGGATTGGGTGGATGGGGGTGGGAAACGGGGAGAGTTGGTTCTTACTCTATTTATGTCAGGCATTGACCTGGAAAAGAAAATAATATATTTCTTTTTTATATTTTAGTTACATATATATGATATTATTTATATAACAGTAAAAATGGGTTATTAAAATTAGAAGGATTACTTAATACACAGGTATAAGTAAAAAGTATATTTAAAATGTTGTATTATGCTATGAGAGAAGAGGTTTAAGGTAGGGTTTGTGTACCAATGTAAATTAAACAGATACATGTAATAGGAATGAGTTTTCTAGATAGAGCTAGAATTTATGTCTAAGTAGGAGTGAAAATATGAATTCAAAATATATGTAGGTTAAAAGGTGAATTTTCACTTGCCTATAGACTGATATAAACGGATAATTTTAGCAGAAATATGAAATAGGAATGAAATTTTAAAATTGAATCTGAAATTATTTGAATTGAAAAATAGAAATGCAAAGGCATTAAGGGTGTTAAATAGAAATGGATATAAAAACGTTATATATTGAAGTAAACCAATATGAGAATGGCAGATACATGAAATAGGAATGATAAATCCAATTTAGATTTGACATTTATTTTAAAGTAGAACTGAAAGATAGAAATGCAATGATATTGAGGTTTATAAAGGGATGTGTATATAAGAAAGAAATAGATATTGAGGCATATAGAGATAATTTTAGCAGAAATAAGAAATAGGAATTGATTATAGCATGATTAATTGTATATAGATCGAAAGTAGGACTTATATTTGTTTTAAGCTGTGAAATTCAAAGTAATACAATTAGATATAGAATATCTTGGCTAGACATGAAAGTATTAGTCAGTAACGGCCTTGTACAAATATAATTATATAATTAATATGAGTAGAAACATATAATAGGTATAAATTTGATTTGAGTAAAAGACAATTATGATTGTAGGTTTATATTTGTGTAAGATATTAAATATAAAAATAGGCTGTAGGATTTGTGAAGATAATTAAGATTAAAGTAGGATATAAGCTGTGTAAAGTTAATTAATTAGTGGTTACAAAAATGTAACATAAAAATTCGGTGCTATGGAAACGCCTCAACACGGAAACGCCTCAACACGGAAATGCCTCAAAAAAAAGCGGAAACCCCTCAAAAACCGGTTTTTTTGAGACGTTTCCGCAATTTCTGCAAGAAAAACGGAAATCCCTCAAAACCCAGTTTTTGAGGGGTTTCCTCTTTATTTTGAGGCGTTTCCTAAAATTTTTGAGGGGTTTTTGTTTACTTAGAATTCATAAATTAATGCAACAATAAATATCATCCATTCATAAAAAAAAAATTTAAAAAATCAATTTCTCCATTGTTCACACCACATAGAGCAGTATATATATCATGCACTAGTCAGTATATATCATGCACTAGAAACAAATGAATTTTTGTTATGCAACAGTAAATATCATGCATTAGAAAGAAAATAAGCAAACAAACTTCATTTACTAAATTTAAAGATTTAATTATAAAACTCTCCACAAATAACAAAACTCACCTTATGACCCATCAAGTGCAGAATCTTAACCAAAATGTAGAAGAAAAAAAAACCTGTACACACTATGTATTTTAGAGCCCTTTGCAGTACAAAGAACAAATGATATATAATCAAGTATTTTCTAATCTTAGTTGGTATAGTTTTTGAAAAATTACAAAAAAACAATTTAGATTCCGAAAAGCAACCCCACTTTTCAAGCTAGGTCTACTAAACAATAATGTTAAAAGTATATGGAAAACAAAAATAAATAAGTAAAATATGGATAGTGACAAGTGGAATAAGGTTGAGGTTACACTATTTTGAAAAAACTGTCCATTACACGGTAAGCGTAATTTAAAGTGACCCTCCATTTAAAAATAAAAAAGGGCATGGCCAAATCACAAACCTTCATCTGATTAATAATATGGAAGATTTATGTAGCTTAACAAAGTATTTAATTATCTATTGCTTATGGAGTAAGAAAATCCACAAATGAAAATACTTAGTTTACAAAAACATTGATATAAATCATACTTATCGGAAAAAGCTTTTAAGAGCANCTGGTGTACTTCCGATAGAGCAATTTTCTTGAGTGTTCTGACTTCTCGGGGGTTGGTCCCTTTAACATTGCATTTAAAGGAACACCTGGGATAGGTGATGACGTACTCTTTAGAATCATCTCTCCTGTGGAAATGTTTTTTAATAAGATTGTTGAAAAAAAGATGTTTTGGGGTTTCCAGATTTGGCTTTTCCATTTCCTGAAATATAGATATGTTTTACATTTTTGTTGTGTATCACAATCTGACAAGAGATAATTTACACTGATAATATTGAGATAATATTGAACAGTTGCATTCTCGAATTTCCTATTTTGAATTTAAAAGGTGTTTTAAAATAGTAAAAAAAAGAAAAAAAATATTTATTGCTTGTGGGTTTAAAAATTTGTTTGAATTTTATTGCTAATAGAGCAAAGAGGGTTTTTTTTTAAAAATAAACCATAGAAAGAAAAGATTATTTTTGAATAGGAGAAAAATAAGTTACTATTTGTTTTGTCAGTATGTCTGGTATCTTGCAAGTGTTTGGTTCTCTTTGAGCTTTGCTCATTAATTGTTAATTTTTATGTTTCTTTCACCTTGTGTTTTGCAGAATATCGTACTGTTATAATGTTTGGATTTGGTGTTGAATCTTCTAGTTCTACTGTTGCAACTATTTCGCCTTTATTTAAGGATGATTCCACCAGTAGTCCTTTTTCTGGACTTGTTGCTCTGAAAAACGGAACTGAAATGAGTTCTGGTCAAAAAGAGGCAACAATTGTAAATTCGGATTTAAATGTCTTGCGTTTTATTACGCAGGATGTTGAGCGCTCTTTAGGTGTCTGGTTAATCCTGGTCATGCTGATTCTCTTTTTGTGCTCGCGATTTGTGGGTAATGTACACATTTAATTATCAATTGTTTATATAAGAGGAATACTCTTTGAATCATTATAAGCGTTTTCTTTTGCTTTAACTATCCTCTGTTATAGGATTTTGTGTGAGGAGCTGTAGAGGGCTGTGTACGTCTAGGTCTCGAGGACGATCTTTTCAACCTTTTGATGGAATGGGAGAAGAGTCTGTGGATCGATTCGATCTGATCGCTGATAGAATTCGCTGTGATAGTGTGTCACAGAGAGATGTCTTCCCTCGTCCAAGCAATATGACTGGGTTAGAGGGTCCATGGGAAGTAGTAGAGCTGAATTAGAAAGATGACTATCGGCATGTCTAAAATAATAGAATTATTTTAATTAGATGTGTAAATCTATTTTTAATTGAGAAAAAATTTTAATTGTGTACCCGTATTGGCGTTAAGATTAGATTTAAATGATTATCTGTTCTATGGCGTTTTGATATATGTTGTAGATCGTGTATAGGATAATACGGGTGTTGACAGGATTATTTGAAGCGCGTTTTTATTCAATGACATATATGTAAGGTTTATTATTTTCTTATTTAATTTTAAATTTATTACAGAATGAATATGTTAAATGATATGTCGCTGATGATTGTTTTACGGAGTAATTTAATGCAGGTAAGAAAATTTAAAGATTAATATTTTTTACGTATTTTTACAAATGTGAATATTTTTTACGTATTTTTGAACTGTTTGTTTTGAAAACCAAACCGGTTTCTGAAAAGTAAGGCGGAAACCATGCACTTGTAATCAGTTAAAGAAAGTATGCGGAGAAGAAAATATTAAATTTTTGAAATAATCTTTTGGAATATTTGTTTCAATTTACACCTTTTAATATTGTTGGTTGCTTTAAATGGTAAATTTTTAGTTTTAATTTTGGTTTTATAGAAGAATGCATGGGAAGATCAAGAATGGTCTTGAGTTGGTTGAGGAAATTGTGAGCGGTCCCGTGGAGAGGGTGCAGCATGGTGAGACTGAAGATGGCAATTTGGACTGTGTTCAGCAAATTGCTAGGTAAGGAATAGTTAAGTACAAGGATATTTTCGTCGCAAAATTTACAAATGCATACGTTGTAACTGTTAATCTATTAGGAAGGGGGAGGTTAGGATGGTTGGGTGGAAGAGACGTTTATATATTTTTGTATTTGTATTGTGAGCTCAATTTTTATGCTTTGATTGAAGATATAAAGTGTAGTTATGTGTTATTAATTATTTTTAATGGATTAATTCTTTTAAAGAGGGGGGGGGTGTATTTGTGAGGTGATTCATGTGAACTTAAGGTTCAAAGTGGGATTTGTTTGGATCAAAATATTAAGGGGATGATTGAATTCGAGGTATGGGAATAATTGGTTGCAGAGTAGGGGGTTCTCAAATATAACAGGTGACAATTTGCGTAATTTATCAGGATTATGTTAAGGTATGCAGAGCAGGTTCTGGTGGAATTCAATGAGACGCATTTCCGCCGGCCCGGGGGAAAGAGCGAACTTAGATGTGAGGCCGAGCCTGACTGCGTGGGAGAGGTTGTTATTACTATGTGTGTCTGTCTCGTAGCTGTTGGTTTGGNAGGGGAGGGGGGGGGGTGGTAACATATGGAATATGTAATGGAGGATTGATTTGTTGACTATATTTTGAAATGTTTATGTTAAAATATCTATGCGAGGGTTAATACCTAGCATTTGGCAATATATTCCTCATGTGAAATGGTTCCTTATATTTTGAAATAAGCATGCGTTAGTTTTAAAAGAAAACTTGTTGTTATAGGACTAATCTGTGGCGTCTTGGGCTAGTGAGGGATGAGTACATTAGAAGCCGAGATGCCAGGGTAGGTTATTTACGTTATTGAGAGCGAAATCTGGTTTTATTATAGATTTGCGCAACTTAAAATATATTGTTAGAACTTGAGAATATTATTTTTAGTGTCTTTATTGATAGTTGAAAGGTTTAAGGACTGTAATCTTCATTATTTTTATTTGTAATCATTTGTAAACTATTATTTTAGGTCGTTACGGAAAGGATAGCGATTCGCCGGGTCGAGAGCGTGGGTGTTGACGCTGTCAGAGACGGTTCTAACGTGCCCTCCGAGGAGATGTTTGTTGCGGCTTGTTCAAAATACAACCAGTTTGGTTTAAGGAAGTAAGTATTTTGAACATTTGGTCGGAGAGGTTCATTTTAAGGTCAATAATTGTCGGATTTATGATGGTGCATATTAATTTGTTATTTCATGTTTAATGATAAAAAGTTTTAACGTAAAGGCCTGAAGTTTTGAAGTTATGCTTGATGTTTTACTGTTGATTAATTTAAATTACTTGATATATGTTTTTTTTTAAATTGGTATAATAGGATGTATTTAGGAATGATCGATTCAAACTAGTGGTTGACGTCGCTACTCAGACTGAGAAGGGTGCGAAGGGGGTAGGACAGCAAGTGAGTTTATTCTTGTTAACTAAAATGAGTAGGTTAATTCATTAAAATGTAAAGAAAAATAAAATTTATTTTATGTATGGTTTAGAATTTCAAATATTGATTTAAATAATATGTCTAAAGATGTTTGAGCACTTTATTAAATCATTCATACTTAGGTTGAGGACGGGATTTTGGCATCCTTGGAACGCAAGGTTAGGGAGAGGAACGGATGTTATTTAATTAGAGGCATAGATCACGAGTTTAAAGGCGGACAACGGTTCAGTTCTGGCAGTGTATTATCCCGTGACGTAGGGTTACCTGATGTGGGACTTTCAATTAATGGAGGAGAACAGTCCCTTCCTGGCCGTGCTTTCAACCAGGAGACGGTTTTACCTGATGTAGGACCTGTAATATCTAGCCCTGACGATTCTGAGGCTGAGGATTTGAACACCACTGTAAGGGAGCAGAATGTAGATGATCAGAAGGAGCGGAATGTTAGTGATCGGATTGATGCAGGGATGGTTCCGGGTGTGACTGCAGGGGAAGCTATAAAGTACAAAAATTATTGGATTATTATAAGTTTAAACAAATCCAAAACGGTGCATGCATTATCATGGTTTCTCAGGTTCCCCAGGTTCCCCAGGTTTCCCTGGTTCCCCTGGTTCCACAGGTTCCCCAGGTTTCCCTGGTTTCCCTGGTTTCCCTGGTTCCTCCACTCTTGTTTCACTCTGGTTTCCCCCTTGTTCCCCCCTCCTGGTTTCTCAGGTTCCCCAGATTCCCCAGGTTTCCCTGGTTCCCCAGGTTCCCCTGGTTTCCCTGGTTTCCCTGGTTTCCCTGGTTTCCCTCGTTCCTCTACAAATTATTTTTATAGAATGAACAATAGCCAGAATAGAAATTTGTTATAGTAAAACCTAAAATTAGATATAACAGCTGTGTAGCCCACCGACAAAGTTACATGTACATGTACGACATAATTTAACAAATTTTGAAACCAATAATCCTGGACTGGATGGTGACGAGCTGGTGGCTGTGTGGATAGCTTAAGAGCCAGTAGGGTAGATGACTAGCTGTTAGGGTAGTTGGTAACAGTGGTTGTCTTATGTTTGCATTGTGGATGGTGGTCTGGTTTTACCACAGCCTTTGCACACATCCTTAGCTGAAAGAGAATATAATAAACAATATTTTGAAACAACTGTCAGGTAAAAATTTCCGGTTTACGTAACGTAAATCGTAAACATTCTGGTTTCCATTTGATCCGGAATTTTCTCAGAATTCCTGCTTACGAAAGAAATTTCCGGATCATTCCAATTTAAAAATGGGATTTCTATTCTGGAAAAATGGAAACCCTAATATAATATCAATTCAGTTAGTTTGATATGAAATTACCAAAATAATGACCGCATATACATTTCCTTGGACGTGGTGTGAAGAGGGAACTGTATTCAGCTGTTTTCCTGAACATACAGCATTATTTAAATGTTTCTTGGAAATTGAGTATATGATAAAATCCACCGAAATAAAGTGTGCTAAATTGTTTTCCACCGAAAATTCATTGATTTTCATAACTTACCGTGAAACCCCTAAAGAATAGTTATTAAAAGGAAATCCAAGACAAATAGTCTTATAAACGAAAGACTTACCTATTTATTTCCTGTTTGTTGCAGAGATATTCTAGTTTGTCCTCAGCCTTTCTAAAATACAAGAATACTAATTGAGACTAACATGCTTGTTGATACGTAACATCTTTTGTAATCGTTCACAGTCGACGTTTTCACAAACAAACATTCAAAAATGGTGATATAATTTAGATCAAGTTTTGTGATAATACTGGGATCTTGGCAAGGCTTGGAGACCAGGTAGGCTGGCCCAGGGCCCTGGCACAATCCAAAAATGTGCTTCATTCTGGATTGCTTGACGTACAAGGATGATAGAGTGTCGGGAAACCCGTCGGCTGCGTGGTGTAAGTTCACGAGGATTTTTGAAAAACTCAAGCAAGACCGCATGTTTTAGAAAATGAAGGAGTTTGAACACAAGTTTGAAACTTTCGCTAAATTCAAGAGAAAAAACATTAATTTCACAAATATTCAATGAATCACAAAACTGGCTCATTTAAATGTTAACAAACCTCATAAAATATGAGGAAATTGCGTTTCGATTGCAAATGGAGTGCAATCTTTCACCAAGCTCTTCAGAGAACCAGCAACCCTACACAATAATAATTTCATGTATGAAATATAATTTGATGTTACAAATAAGTTCTGTCATCCTAAATTATCAGTATCAACAGAATTTCAGTTATGCTAATTTTAACTGTGATTTTCAAATGCCTACCCCAATAAAAAATCCGACTGAACATTTTAATTACAAGTAGGGTTTCCAGCTGAATTCCTGGTTGCGGTTTACGTACGGAAATGATCCGGAATTCCGGTTAACGCAACAAATTTCCGGATCATTCCATTTCCAAACTTGAATTTTTTTTCCTGGAAAAAATTGAAACCCTAATTGCAAAGTTATGTTACCTGGAAAAATCTGAGACTCCTTGGAGCTACAAACACTGATGAATGGAGAAGATTTTATTTATTGGACTTAGGTGATTTGTGAAAAAGAAATGACAAGTTTCACGTAAAGACATTGTTTTATTTTTTACAATCTTTTTACACCACAAAATTGCGTAATTTCCCATAAGAATCATATATTTTAATCGACTCAACAAATCACACCCAACATTGCCTAACTTTTCGGAGAACATTTTAATTTGAGCAAACAAATCAATTTTCAAAGATAAAATTACTTCTTTAATTTAACATGATCAACTCCCCTAATAGATCCAGTTTGGGTGAGATCCCATCTTTTGGAAACATTTTGGGATACAATGCACCCAGAGAATTGCATCCTTCTTCAAAGCTGTCCATCTGATCCTCTGATGCCTTTGTTGGGCTTAGTAACCTAATTTAAAAATTTTATTCAGTTTGAATATTTTGTTTACAAGGCCAAAATTTTTAATTTCAAGTTTTATTTTGTTGGTTCCTTACAAAAAAGGTGACTCATCGGTGCCGTATATTCCAACCTAGATGATTCTAACCTAAAGGTTTTCTGACGTTAGGTCAGAAAAACGTTAGGTTCGTTTCCTCTAGGTTCGATGAGCGGGTACCGACTCATCTGTGATTCTTAGCAGCCATTATTTACAATTAGACAAATTATCATGGTGTAAAATAAATTACCGGAAAAATATTCCATCTACTGTTGTAAGGAGCCTAACCCAGTCAGGATCTTTTTCTCCAATGAGGTTCTCAAGGAGGTCAGGGAGTGCTGCACAAATTTTGATCAAGTATGAATTAGATACCCATGTTTTGGTCAGATCAAGGTTTCAATTGTATCTTAGAGATTTAGGAATGGTCGTCTTTAAATGTAGTATCAACTCAAGTCATACGTTTGATTGCTTTAATCCAAAATTATAAGAAACTACAGCTCATGTTATCATTCTTATTACATAAACGCCTTTCATTTTTACCTCGAATTAGCTTCATCACATGTTTTCCCATCATGATGCCAGGAAAATATTCACCTCTAGATACACTCAATGATTTGATAAGGGATTGAAACCTTTTCATTCTGACACCTAAATCAGAGGTACTACAAAAATTGTTGCGATTGATTCTTTAAATGATGATGTGATTTAATTCATTGTCAACCAGGCGATATAACTGCCAATACAAGTCCCATTTTTTCTCATCAAGGAAAGATTATAAAGGAAAAAACAATTCTGTTTAAGTGTATAAAGTGATTGGTTGGGTGAAATGCATAATTTGAGTCGAAACCACTGCAACAAAAAAATTTGTATTACCAGGACACTTTTCCATAATTCTCTCCTCCTCAATAGCTTCGGCTCGTAGGGACAGAACTTCAAAATCTAATTTATCCAGTGTTCGTGTTGATCTATCAACAGCTTCTAACACATGACCTATAATATTTAGGATTAAAATTTGTGAGGTGTGACTTGTATTTTCGGTTGAATTAAAGCTGTTGACATTTCAACAAAATAAATATGATTTAACCAACCTAGTGGTTCTTCATCCCGGCAGGTACAGCAGGTCCATTCTAAAACAATATGAGTCTTCAGTCATACAATTTAATGACAATGTTAAAAATTAGATAAGGTTATCAAATCAAAACAACCTTTATGAAAGAGAAAATAATGATTATCTGATGCATTCTTGATCAGAAAAAGCTTTTAAGGGTACTGTTGTGTGTCAGACATGTGATTCTATCTATTAATATTCCATTTAACTTCTATGTACAGTTCCATTACAACCCACAAAAATTATTGTTCTTTAATAACCAGCATTCATTTGGTTGCTGTGACCTATTTCCATACAATAAATTTCTTCATATTTACCTAAAGATGTGTCCTGATGTACCGCATCTACATGGCCTTGGATCTCCAGAGAAGTTAAATTTTCCCCTTCGCAGATCATATGAAAGACTTGTTGACAAGAATCACAAATGATAACTGAGAGATCGTCCTACCCTTAAATCAAAAGAATTTGTTTAAAGGGAGTGACCGGCTTTCTAAGGTAGTTGAACTGAGTATGCAGAGTGCTACATTTAAATGAGATTTGAACAAATATTTTGAATAGTTTACCCATGCTTTGAACTTAGTTCATATGAACATGGTTTTTATAAAACAAATAGCTAATATACTGACATTTTTTGGTTAGCATCCAGTTATTTTAACATACCAGATGCAATACAATTGATGGAGTCACATTGTCTAACAACCTCTGTGTTGTTTTTCAAAGATACTCTTGTGGTATAACTAATTCATGGATTCTTTTCTTTCAAAATAAGAAATCAATCTTACCCGAATGTTGCAATTCTCAACATATTCTTGGCTAAGCTTTTTCCAGAGTGATGCTTTTTCGTTTTGAGTAGCTTGTAAATTCTGAACTTTGTCTGTTTAATTAATAATTCATAGTTATTACCTAAAACTTCTATCAAGGATTATTTGCCATAGAAGCTTTAATTTCATCATGAAAACTTTGTACAAGACAAGAAGTTGTGGCATAATTAGACCAATAAATAATAAATTATTCCTTGAGTAAATTTGTCCTCCAGTTCATCACGATAGTCACGCCTTTCTAAAATATATATTTTTTAAATTTTTAAAAAGCATATTTGGTTAAAATATATCATTCAAGTTAAATATTTACACTCAGTTATTTAAAACAGTAACCAATTCATTTGTTAGGTATTTAGGTTTTTGGTCAAAATATATTTGAGGAGACAGTAAAGGCCAAAGTTTATAAATGTGACTTGTCTGATTGCAAAGAATATTAGTGATATAAATTACAATTTTACGATTTGTTCTATAGAAAAACAAACAATTATTACCAATTTCCTTCTCCAAGTGTGATATCACCTTTTCTCCAACCCCTAAAAAAGACATAGTTGTTGTTCTATTACTTATTATTATGATAATTAATTAGATATTTCAAGCTATTGAAAAGGATATTTAAAAGGACACATCATAATCAAGAAGCCTGTTATCTATTAAGAACATTGTTACTTGAAAGATCTAGTCAGACTTAGGGCTCTAGGAGCAGAAGCTAGATCTGTTGTTTAGCCAATAGCATAACCAGAGGATTCTGAGAATGGAGACCTTGCTCATAGTGGAACAGCTCTTCACAGGTCTATGGTAGAAACAAAGAAAATAACAAGGATGATACAAATCAACATCACAAAGAAAATAACAAGGATGATAACAATGACAACAATGATGATAACAAAGCAGAAACTCTAGGAGCAGCTCAGGCAATAAAGGAATCAGCTGGAAATGTAGTGGAAGCATCCCATATGGTAAGAACAGCTTTGTTAATGGAGACTCTGGAAGCAGCTAGAGTAGCAGCTCAGATTGCAGTGAAAGAGATACTAAAATTGATGGATCTTGAATCTCCCTATGATTTACATCTGGTTTGTTATTAGAGAAACCAATACTAACAACGCTTAAATCATCTCGATGCATGTGATTAATATCAGAAAATTGTTACTTAAAAAAGAGATTTAAAAATGAAAAACCTACATACCCATTACTATATGAAGTAGTGATGGTTGGACTTCTAGTATGTTGGATTTTGGAGTGAATACTGATTTGCCAATCACAGATCCGAACTTTGATTGCTCCAACCTTACAAGATATTTTATTTTATTGGTTTTTCAGTAAGCACTGCTTATGCATTAATGATATTACATATTTAAAGCTCTATATATTCAAAACATTGTTTTGGATGAATTAGGGCAAGAAATTGAGAAATTAAAAAATCCAAAGACATTTAATTTAGTTTTAACAATATTTCATCAAATCAAAGAGACTGTTGAAAACACATTTCACCTTAGGTCTTGAGAATTATTAGAAATATTTCCTCGGAGATGTTCATCAAATGACACTGGGGTTCTGAAGGGAAAGACGCATCCAGGGTTCCTTTATAAATATTTGCTGTCAGTAATTCACAAAGGAGAGGGGGTAAATATTTGAGAAAACAAATACCCTTGTAATCAAGGTGAATATTTGAGAAAACAAATACCCTTTTAATCAGGATGAACATTTGATAAAACAAATACCCTTTAAATTTGCAACTTGAGCTGCCTAGTTTACCTTTCATCTTCGAGAATCAATTTCTTGCTGCGAACAATATATGTTTAAATATCTTTATTCAGAACAGTTTAAATTATGGTTTTAGTGTTGTTTTACTGAATTGACCAATTTCCCCCCTATGTTCTGTACCTGTCATTATGAGGACTGCCATCCTGGTGCGCAGTACGCAAATGTGACAAAGGAACCTCTCTATAGGTTGATGGCATAGATGATGATGAACCCCCAAGGCCAAGCATAGAAGAAGTAAATGCCATATCTCCTGTACAAATACAGATCATTTAAATATTTAATAATTGTGCTGAAATGCTATTCGAATCAAAGTTTTTGATAAAAAGAAAACTGAATTGAAAGCATAAATATAGGAAAAAATGGAATGATATATACTTTGGAGAAAAAAACTCAGCGGGAGCGGTTGAACCAGCGGTTGAGATCTAGCCTAGACTCTACGCAGTTCAGAATAAGAAATTAAGAAGAAATTTACAATTTGCTCATCCCAGGTTTCCCTGGTTCCCCTGGTTCCACAGGTTCCCCAGGTTTCCCTGGTTTCCCTCGTTCCTCCACTCTTGTTTCACTCTGATTTCCCCCTTGTTCCCCCCTGGTTCTAGCCCATGGATATATAATAGAGTATATATATCATAGTCAAATCCAAAGGGTTGCATGCATTATCATGATGGCTCACCCCTCACCTACCCCTTACTTCCAATATTCTCCTGGTTTCTCAGGTTCCCCAGATTCCCCAGATTCCCCAGGTTTCCCGTTCCCCAGGTTCCCCTGGTTTCCCTCGTTCCTCTACTCTTGTTTCCCCTGGTTGCCCTTGCCTATATTTAATATTTTGAATTTAAAACAAATTTCTCAATATCTTGGTGAATTCTCTTGGTACAAAAAGGCAGACCACATTTTAGAATTATGAAAACAAGGCGCCTTTGATGCTACAAACTCTTTGAAAAAAATGCTATGTTCACAAGATTTGGGCTGCAGTATCTCATTTATGCTTACTCCAGGGCCCATTATCTACCAAAGTTCTTCTCTAATTTAGACCCTGAACTTCACTTCAAACTTTTGTAAAAGTACAAATTATTTTTATAGAATGAACAATAGCCAGAATAGAAATTTGTTATAATAAAACCTAAAATTAGATATAACAGCTGTGTAGCCCACCGACAAAATTACATGTACATGTACGACATAATTTAACAATTTTGAAACCAATAATCCTGGACTGGATGGTGACGAGCTGGTGGCTGTGTGGATAGCTTAAGAGCCAGTAGGGTAGATGACTAGCTGTTAGGGTAGTTGGTAACAGTGGTTGTCTTCTGTTTGAATTGTGGATGGTTGTCTGGTTTTCCCACAGCCTTTGCAGACATCCTTAGCTGAAAGAGAATATAATAAATAATATTTTGAAACAACTGTCAGGTAAAAATTTCCGGTTTACGTAAGGAAAAACGTTAAGATTCTGGTTTCCATTTGATCCAGAATTTTCCCGGAATTCCGGTTTACGCAAGAAGTTTCCGGATCATTCCATTTCCATAATTGGATTTTTTTTGGGAAAAATGGAAACCCTAATATAATATCAATTCAGTTAGTGTGATATGGAGGTGGTGTGAAGAGGGAACTGTATTCAGCTGTTTTCCTGAACATACAGCTTTATTTAAATGTTTCTTGGAAATTGAGTATATGATAAAATCCACTGAAATAAAGTGTGCTAAATTGTTCACAATTTATTTTCCACCGAAAATTCATTGATTTTCATAACTTACAGAAGGAAATCATCAAAATATTTTCATCAAATATCCCACAATAAAAATGATTTTATATTATCAATGACAAATATTCTTATAAACCAAAGACTTACCTATTTATTTCCTGTTTGTTGCAGAGATATTCTAGCTTGTCCTCAGCCTTTCTAAAATACAAGAATAGTAATTAAGACTAACATGCTTGTTGATACGTAACAACTTTTGTAATCGTTCACAGTCGACGTTTTCACAAACAAACATTCAAAAATGGTGATATAATTTAGATCAAGTTTTGTGATAATACTGGGATCTTGACAAGGCTCGGAGACCAGGTAGGCTGGCCCAGGGCCCTGGCACTATCCAAAAATGTGCTTCATTCTGGATCGCTTGACGTACAAGTATGATAGAGTGTCGGCTGCGAGGTGTAAGTTCACGAGGATTTTTGAAAAACTCAAGTAAGACCGCATGTTTTAGAAAAATGAAGGAGTTTGAACACAAGTTTGAAACTTTCGCTAAATTCAAGAGAAAAAACATTAATTTCCCAAATATTCAATGCATCACACAAATTGTTTGAAAAAACTGGCTCTTGTAAATGTTAACAAACCTCATAAAAAATGAGGAAATTGCGTTTCGATTGCAAATGGAGTGCAATCTTTCACCAAGCTCTTCAGAGAACTAGCGGACCCAATAATAATTTCATGTATGATATATAATTTGATGTTAAAAATAAGTTCTGTCATTGTAAATTATCAGTATCAACAGAATTTCAGTTATGCTAATTTTAGCTGTGATTTTCAAACGCCTACCCCAATAAAAAATCCGACTGAACATTTTAATTACAAGTAGGGTTTCCAGCTGAATTCCTGGTTGCGGTTTACATACGGAAATGATCCGGAATTCCGGTTAACGCAACAAATTTCCGGATCATTCCATTTCCAAACTGGAATTTTTTTTTCTGGAAAAAATTGAAACCCTAATTGCAAAGTTATGTTACCTGGAAAAATCTGAGACTCCTTGGAGCTACAAAAACTGATGAATGGAGAAGATTTTATTTATTGGACTTTGGTGATTTGTGAAAAAGAAATGACAAGTTTCACGTAAAGACATTGTTTTATTTTTTACAATCTTTTTACACCACAAAATTGTGTAATTTCCCATAAGAATCATATATTTTAATCGACTCAACAAATCACACCCAACATTGCCTAACTTTTCGGAGAACATTTTAATTTGAACAAATAAATCAATTTTCAAAGATAAAATTACTTCTTTAATTTAACATAATCAACTCCCCTAATAGATCCAGTATGGGTGAGATCCCATCTTTTGGAAACATTTTGGGATACAATGCACCCAGAGAATTGCATCCTTCTTCAAAGCTGTCCATCTGATCCTCTGATGCCTTTGTTGGGCTTAGTAACCTAATTAAAAAAATTTATTCAGTTTGAATATTTTGTTTACAAGGCCAAAATTTTTAATTTCAAGTTTTATTTTGATGGTTCCTTACAAAAAGGTGACTCATCGGTGCCGTATATTCCGACCTAGATGATTCTAACCTAAAGGTTTTCTGACCTAAATATCCAGTAGTTTGCACGTGCTTTAGGTCGGTTTGGTTAAAAAAAGCTTTAGGTCCGTTTGACATCCTATGAGAAATATATAGGTTTTCCGACCTAAGATTTAGAGATATATTTAGGTTGGTTGGGCATATATATTAGGTCTGTTTACCAGGAAGTTTAAGTTGGATTAGTGACAATTTTAGGTCTGTTAAGCAATATTTTTAGGTTGGTTGAGCAATTTTTTTTAGGTAGGATGAGCAATTTTTTAGGTCGCATGAGCAATAATTTTAGGTCGGATAGGCAATTTTTTTAGGTCGGATACGCAATTTTTTTAGGTCAGAAAATATTGCTCATCCAATCTAAAAATATTGCTCATCAGACCTAAAAATATTGCTCAACCGACCTAAAGATATTGCTCAACTGACCTAATAAAATTGCTCAACCAGCCTAAAAAAATTTCTCAACTGACCTAAAAATATTTCTCATCTGACCTTAAAATATTGCTCATCCGACCTAAAAATATTGCTCATCCGACCTAAAAATATTGCTCATCCGACCTAAAAATATTGCTCATCCGACCTAAAAATATTGCTTAACCGACCAAAAAATATTGCTCAACCGACCTAAAATGAATGCTTATCTAACCTAAAATTGTTGCTTTAACCAACCTAAAACATATTCCCAACTGACCAAAAATATATCAATAAATGACCTAAATATATTTCCAATCTTTAGGTCAGTTTGGGACATTTCGCTAATCGAACCTACAGATTTTTAGGTCGGAAAAACGTAAGGTCAGAAAAACGTTAGATTCGTTTCCTCTAGGTTCGATGAGCGGGTACCAACTCATCTGTGATTCTTAGCAGCCATTATTTACAATTAGACAAATTATCATGGTGTAAAATAAATTACTGGGAAAATATTCCATCTACTGTTGTAAGGAGCCTAACCCAGTCAGGATCTTTTTCTCCAATGAGGTTCTCAAGGAGGTCAGGGAGTGCTGCACAAATTTTTATCAAGTATGAATTAGATACCCATGTTTTGGTCAGATCAAGGTTTCAATTGTATCTTAGAGATTTAGGAATGGTCGTCTTTAAATGTAGTATCAACTCAAGTCATACGTTTGATTGCTTTAATCCAAAATTATAAGAAACTACAGCTCATGTTATCATTCTTATTACATAAACGCCTTTCATTTTTACCTCGAATTAGCTTCATCACATGTTTTCCCATCATGACGCCAGGAAAATATTCACCTCTAGATACACTCAGTGACATGGAAACGCCTCAACACGGAAACGACTCAACACGGAAATGCCTCAAAAAAACAGAATCATAAAACTAATTAAATGTCGTCTTCTAACATTAAAAAAAATTTAACAATTATTTTACCATTAATTTAGGGTAAGTTAGGTTGCGCCGCAGGCTACAAAGGGGGCCGAGCGCTGCGGCTAGGATGGCTATAAGGGGGCCGAGCGCTGAGACTAGGACAGGCTAGGGGGCCGTGCGCTACGGCTAGAACAGTCTAGGAGACCGAGCGCTGCGGCCATGGCTGTGAAAATCAGTAGAATATAGTCTTTTTAATTTTAAGTTGAGAGAAGACGACATTAAATTAGTTTTATGATTCTGTTTTTTTGAGGCATTTCCGTGTTGAGTCGTTTCCGTGTTGATGCGTTTCCATGTCACCGATACACTCAATGATTAGATAAGGGATTGAAACCTTTTCATTCTGACACCTAAATCAGAGGTACTACAAAAATTGTTGCAATTCATTCTTTAAATGATGATGTGATTTAATTCATTGTCAACCAGGCGATATAACTGCCAATACAAGTCCCATTTTTTCTCATCAAGGAAAGATTATAAAGGAAAACACAATTCTGTTTAAGTGTATAAAGTGATTGGTTGGGTGAAATGCATAATTTGAGTAGAAACCACTGCAACAAAAAAATTTGTATTACCAGGAC